TCAATGCTTTGCAATAATTTAGGAACCTACAGAAACATACTTGAACAATTGCTGTGGTTGTACCAGTTTTTGTGCACTCCTTGGCAGGCTTCACAGACCTTTCACAAAATTTTGCTTTTACTAAAGCATCGTTTATGACATAGAGAACTGTGACCTGTAACCGATATGGAATAAATGTAAAGAACATGAAATCTGTTTTATGAGAAACCGAAAGGGAATTAATTTTTGTACAAATATACCTGTTTATAATCATCTGGCAGATTTGAAATTTCTACCTCTTTAGTTGGCTCCCCAATGCAAGACAAATTTTTAAAATAGTTATTTAAATCAGAGTTTATATTATTCAATGTCTGCTTGGTTTTTTTTGGTGTAGACTTTACATCCAGTCTCTTTTTGGCAGGTGACTTCAAATCTGTGGGTAGAATTCCATATTTCAAAAAGTATGATTCCATGTCACTACCGAAGCGTTTACAATCATTTATTAGCTCACACAATTTGGATACAAACCTTCGTCCTCTTCAAACCCAGCAATACCCTCATCCCCAACCTCCTCATGCAGTGTATTCTCCATGTATACAGCTGATTCCTCTACTTCCAAGCTATCGGATTTGGATTGGGCTGCATTGTCTATCATTTCTACGAGCAGTGTTGTCGAGAGAAACTCCATCTGACTTTGAACAATCTTCTCAGCCATGATGCGAGATGAGAACTTTTGAAAAGGAAAAAGAAGAGGGTTACAATGTCTGAATTAGAACAGCAGTACAGGTTTTTACTGGGTATTCACTTACTTTGACAACAACTGAGTTGCTTGACTTCTCATGTACACAATCTAATATAATTTCTTGCTGCTCTGCTGCAGAAGCAGTTTTCTTTCGTCTCCTTGATAGAAGTTTCCCTTTAAGTTGAGATAAAAATAAGTTCTGCAATAAAAATTACAAATAAATGAAACGTTGGAAAACTTTTAGCATAGCAGGGGAATTAGAAACTAAAGAAAACAAAGTTTTATGAGTTACCTTCATGAATTTGCCCTTCGGCAAATTACTAAACTTCACGCTGACAACTTCCATTTTCTCAAAAGTTAGCTAAATCACAGAACACCGCCCAAGAACAACGCTCAACAGCACACCTTCTACCTTCTACTTCTGGACCAATTTTACTGTTTTGTTTTGAGACGCGCAAAGTGTACCTATCCGATCGATCGTCATTTGTTGTCAGCGGAAAGCGAGAAAAGAGAGCGGAATAGTGGGCCATTTTTCAAATCACTGCTACTGTCAAGCGACATAGAAGCATATAAAAGCTGTTGAAATTAGCTGTTTAAAAAAAAAGCGAATCAAAATATTAAAACTTTAATTATTTATCATCCTCGTGTCTTCCTGATTCCGAAAATATGCAGTTCTTTGCTCTTTAGAGTGATTACGCGCATTCGCGCATTCGCAGCGGGTTGTCGGTCGGTCGGTCGGTCGGTCGGTCGGGTGACCCGCCTCTTATTTTGACGCAACCCTAGGTACCAGTAGTAATAGTGAACGGCAAGGTTGACGGTGCAGGTCGGACTTATATCACGCCCGCAGCGAGAAACCTTCGACCGTCACAAAGAAATGCATTATTTTCTGCAGGTGTGGGACAAAAGGGGTGCGAGTGCGAAAATAGGTAACAACACTCAGAATATTTTTGGTACTTCATTATCTTTTAGGTTAGGTTAAGTTTTGTGTCAGGTATGGGCGAAACGGCATCGCTCCCACACCGAGACGACAGAAGAGACGACGACCACAGTATCGTTTCGATGTCTTTTCTACTTAGTTTTGCAGTCGACTGTTGCTTTTGGCTTCGTAGACGCCGTCTTCCCGAGGCCCGCCCGGGCGCTGGCGGGCCGCCGGCTTCACGCATCTGCTTGGCAGGTTTGCCTACCCAGCGCGTAGCAGGCGCTATCACAAGCGTGAAGCGTATCACAGGCTCCTGTGGAGACACCTCCCAGTTGGATTCTGTACACCTGTTTGCTCTGCCCGCAGACTCTCCTGTCGCTGCCCGACGTTCCTCTCTTGAAGGTGCTCGCCTACCTCCGTCTCCAGGACCTGGGCGCCGCCGGGCTGGCGACCCCGCGGCTGGGCGCGCTCACCAGGACGCACTCGTCGCTGTGGAGAAGGCCGGGGAAGGACAAGTTTGAGAGCGTCGAGAGGGTGGCGGACCTGTTGCCGGTCGCACCGCCCACGGACAGGTTGAAGCTCGATGTGGATTGTTACGTCCAGGGCGTCGGCGCGTCGTTCGAGGGCTGTGACAGGTGAGAACATGCAAGATGCCCGGCCGGGCTGTGCTGTAGGTACCGTCTGTACAGGCAATGCACTACAGTGTAGCGGGTTTGCCTACCCGGGCTGCCCGTAGGGCGCCATAGCCCCTTGAGTATGCAAACCCGCAACACTGGGGAGTATTAGCCTTTACAATCGGTGCCCGTCGGTTGGGTGTCACCCAGTGAATGAATCTGCTCTCCCGACAGTGAGTTGGTGGTGCAGGTCCCCGCCGCGGAGGACGCGGCCAGACTCATCCCGAAGCTCGCGCCGAGTCTCAGGCATCTTAACATCTTTGGTCTGGAGATCGACGAGCTTTTCCACAACTTGAAAGCCGCCCGGCGTATAGAGACGCTGCGCGCCAATGTCTTGGTATCAGAAGAGAATAGCAAGCTGCTGTGGCCGAAGGTGAGAGCGCGCGCCGCACAGCCCCGCGCGGGCGGCATAAGCCGGCCGGGACATCGGCCCGAGGTCAGCCTGAGGTCACGTCGGCGTGGGGTCAGACCGTGGTCGGCCTCACCTCTAGAACCCACTGTCCTTGCTCTAAGACCGCGTTCCTGCCAACAGGGGCTGGTGCTGGCCAGTCTGCACACGCTGGAGCTGGAGTGCGACGAGGACGAGCCGGGGGAGGCTACGCTGCGGGCTCTTCGCTCCATGCTGCGGGCGCTCAGGTGCCTTAACAACGACCTTGCAGTCGACTCGACCCTCGCCGATCTAGTCGCTTACGCCCCTCACGCTTCTTTTGCAGTGGTCTGCGCTCCCTGAAGCTGACCTCCGCAGAACTGCTGCCGATCCTGGACGCCTGCCCCAGCGGTCTGCGCCGCCTCGACGTCAAGGCGGGCGAGGGCGTGGCGAAGGCGCTGAGGCGCTTGCGAGGTCAACTGAGGGAGCTCAGGATCAAAATGACATGGCCATGGCCCCACAAGGAAGAGGTACGCAAAGTGACACCTCCTCGTCCTCTGTTTGCTGCCCCGCACCGCGGCGTGTCACTCCGTGTAACTCCGTGTCACTCAGTGTCACTCTAGTGCAGGCGCGGATTAAGGCCCGTCTACCGGGGGGGGGGGGACTGTCGGTTGTAAACATACAGGGGTTTTGTGGCGCAAATTGCCTACCTTTCAGGCGGCTCTCTAGAGACGACAGGGGGCGGTTGCCCCCCCCCCCCCCCCCCCCCCTTAATCCGCGCCTGCTCCTGTGTGACTCCAATGTCACTTCAGTGTCACTCCAGTGTCACTAGTGTGACTCCAGTGTCACTCCAGTGTCACTCCAATGTCACTCCGTGTCATTCCCTCGGCCTTTGTCCTGTTGCCAGGTGGACGATCTCCTCAAGTCCTGGTCAGGGCCCCTCGAACGCCTCGAGCTCATCGGGGTCACCGACTCGCCACTGAGGCTGGACGGGCTCCCCAACCTCCAGGATCTCGTTCTTCACTACTTTTCCCATTTCCCTCACGGCTACTGCCTGGCGCCGACGCTGGCGGGCCTGACCCGCCTGCGCTCGCTCGCCCTCCTCAGCGCGCCGGCGCCTGCCGTGCTCCACGACATCTCCTGCGACGTCATCCCCGCTCTCGAGCTGCTCGTCGTCGGGGGCATCGGCGGCTGCGGTCGCTCGCCCTGCCATAGCGAAGGTGAGACCGCGCCGGGAGTGTGCAGATGTTCAACCTGTGAGAAAGAAGTGCGGTAACGATATCGGATATCGCCTTTGTCTCTTGGGGCGTCATTTCGATATTGTTCGATATCGTTGCTCGATCGTTGCGACATGGTTCAGGTGCCGTTCCTGTACTCTGGATAATCAAAGCAGTTTATTGTCTTTGTAATAGAGGCATTAAATAGCTTTGGCAGTTTTAGTCCCTTGGTGAAGGCAATAAACCTTCAACACCTTCAAGATGTGATTTTACACTGAAGGTGTGACCCAACATCTTTTAACACGTTTCCTGCGGCTCAATTTTGGTCCCTATGACTTATCATGGGGGCGTGACCACATAGTGGCCATGCCGGAGAGAACGTGTTAAAGGTGTGTCTCAACACCTCTTTAAGGTGCAACTTGTCACCTTTGTTTACGTGTTCCTGTGCCCGCAGACTGCCCGTTTGCCGCGAAGCAGGACCCGGTGCAGCTGCTCGAGGCCCTGGTGCGGCGCGCGCCCCAGCCGCTGCACGCCGTGTCCCGGCTGGACTGCAACACCTGGTCCGGGCCGAGGCTCGGCTGGCGCGTGATGTTCGCCCACCCCGAGGGCCCTCCCGGGACCGAGGCCGAGACGGACTGCCGGCTGTGCAGGCAGGCTGCCGAGGCCGCGCGCTTCTACAGCCCTCCGCACAGGCCGATTCAAGTGCGGGGCGTCCAAGTTCGGTAGCAAAAGACAAGTAACAGGTGGAGGTCAAGTGTAACATTAATGCTCAATGTGCGAACATTAATTTAAAGAGGTCTTTTCACAGTGCCAACAAATGTGATTAACTTGACTGTTTAGGTTGTATAGTGGAGCAAGTGTCTTGCATGTGTCACACACTGAGCCGTTCAGGTGAGAACGGAAACTGTACCCATCTGATTAAATATCACTGCCTTTGTGAGCCAAGCTGCTCCCAGAGGTTTCTTTTTTTCTGCTTTGTTTTTCTCCTCTTTTCTCTGGAGTATGTTGCGAGCACTGGTATGCAGGCATCGCATACCACCACCACAACCACCACCCATACGGCACGTTCTACGAAGTCTCGTTTTTCAGGCGCTGTGCTGCAAGAACGGTATAAAGACCACTTTGTAATGATAAGCAGATTAAGAAATAAATAAAATATAAACATTGTTCTCACTTTATTGTTTAATTTTGTACCATCTAATTTACATAAACACTTAGAATAAGAATAAACCAAAATTGACATTTGAGATGCCGTGCCCTATCTGTAAAAAGATATGACTTAACATCTTTCTGACCTTTGATCATAAGCAAAACTACAGGACAAAACACAGTTTACTTTGAAGCACATTTTTACCGCAATAGGTTTTCGCCTTGTGCAGTGAGTCTGGCGAAACAACAGCACAATGCACTCCACCGAATGAATTCGCGGGCAAAGCGTGTCTGAATTGCAGCATTGCAGTGAACAGTCGCCGCAGTCAGCCGGGTCGGGTGGGAGCGCCGAGGAGGTAGACAGGAGTGGGTGACCGCAGCGCCGCCCAGAGTGGCGGGCCTGCCTATCTGGCAGTTCGCAGGCGCTCGCCGCCGCCCGGAGCGAGGAGCGAGCGAAGCGCACGGAGACAGTGTAGGCGGGTCTACTACGCCGAGGTGCACTGGATCAATTTGATGTCAAAGTTACATCAAATTCCACGATCTGAAATAGTGCCATTGCGGCTCATTGGGAGTGATTTCGTTGTGCAATAATTTGACCAATGAACCTGTGTTGTTACTTGGGCGTAGTGGCGCTCAAGCGTCTCTCCTAATGAAATGCCGGTCTATCTGTAGAATCAAAAACTGAACATTTACCCGTGCCTCACGGAAGAGTCAATGTATGGTGGTTTGTTAGAGATAAAACAGCCATACACAGACATCCGCACTTCTTCGGGACGACGGGCTCTCTGGGATACGAGGTTAGGAGGAAGAGGTTTATGCAAGAGGGGGGAGGGGGTCACAAAATGCGATGTACCCCTCTCCTTTCCCTCAAACGAACGCTCGTAATCGGCTGGTTCACTGGCGCCATGCTGGCGCGGCGGCCCATTTCAGCAGGTCGATCACATTCCGTTTTAGACAGGGTTTCGGCGCCTCGTCTAGACGGTCTAGACGGCGTTCCGTTCCGCAGTTCCCACTGTTGCCGCAGTTCTTGCCGGTCCACTTGCGCTACAACTATCAGAGTATTAACTTATGTCAGATGTTCCAGAAGACGCGCAATGTTAATTAGGTGTAACTGGAAGCTAGCAACATGATCAACATCAGAATAGCGATGATTCCCATGTAATTGAAAATTAGTCGGAAGTCTGGCAACAGTGGAAACTGTGGAACGGAACGCTGTCTAGACCGTCTAGACGGGGTTCGGGCGCCAGCGCTCGACGTGAATGTGATCGACCTGCAGCGTTCGTCTTTACGCGCGCCGCCCTCTCACCGCCTTGGACAATCCGAAACCGTAGACTTCATCTGTCGAGAGCAAAGCGGGGAATAAGGGGAATAGCCGGCGTGCTTTGATTTAACCATCTACATCCAATTTAACCTCTTCTGTTGTTAGTGTTTGTGAAAAGTGTGTTGTCGCCACATTTCCTATTGAGAAGGGCGATTTTTATTTGCTGTGTACGTTGGCAATACGCCTGGACAGCCTGTCTGAGCCTGTCAGTGTTTCGTTCCTACGTATCGAAGAACACCCACCTGCTACTGCGGGAGTTCTTTCCACGGTCGTGCTTTTGATGACAAAATGTTGAAGAACTAATTGTCAGAAGTGCAGCAGAGTTGCAAAGGCAAAAGCTTTCCGTTGTGACACACCCACCTGTTTCATCTGTTATTGGAAAATGTCGAGACGTTCTATTGATGTAAGTCAAAATGAGCTGATCTGTGAACAGTGTTGTGTGATGTGTTTTAATTTGTAGATTTTAGTTTTATTGTAAAGATTGTCGTTTCTATGTTTGGTTAAGAGACTACGTTTCTTTACAAACTTTATTAAATAACACACTAGAAGTATGACCATAACCCCCTGACCCTCCTATTCCTTTTCTGTTTAGGTGGAACTGCTTTGCGACATTTGCTCTCAAAATTTTGACTTGACCCTCTGTCGTCCCAAAGTTTTGCCTTGTGGACATACTATTTGTAAAAGATGCCTGCACAATCCTGCATTAGAGAAAAAGTGCCCAACTTGCAGAAAGGTGAGTAGTAATAAGTATAAATAATAGTATTTTGATTTCAGTACTGTTTCTGTTTTCCCTCGGCAATATTTTTTGGTTTAAAATTTATTTTGCTACAACTTTGTATTAGTATTCAAATTTCCGCTTTAGTTGAGTGCGTTAGACACTTCAATTGCCAATGTTGGAATAAATTATAGGAACTGAACTGTATATATATGCAGGTGGGACATCAGACAAATTTGTCAGTTATGACTAAGTAAAGACTATAAACTACAAATAAATTCCTTCTAATTTAGTTACAATAAACCATGCTCTTAATCTCAATATTGTTATGCAAGGACTATGAGTTGAATTACTATTTTCACTGCTAGGGTACAAAGATGCAGCACTTTTGCCTGAATGTCATTAACATTAGGGTTTCGTTCAAGTTTGTTTCGGGATATGTTGGGGGCGCAGAAGTTAAATGAATACGCATCATTACAGATTTTTACTGTTTTACAGGACTTGACAGTTGGCCCCGAAGATCACCCCGACAACGTGTTCATCATCCGAATGATCGAGAGTGACGCATCACCGCCCTGCAAGGTGCCCAGAAAGGAAAATGCGAAGCTGCAACAGCTTCAGCGGGGCCTGGACCTGGGGAGGAACTTGGTGCAGCAGCTGCAGCAGATGGTCCCCATGGCGGTGGCGGCCCTCAACCGCCAGATGGAGTCCTGGGCCGCCCAGGTCCGCCAGCTGGAGGAGGCTGTAGAGCGAGAGGCAGCAGGTGGCGAAGAGGCCAACTCTCAGGAACTAACGACCGAGCAGCTCGAGCTGATGGCGAAGCTGGAGGACAGCGTCCGGCTGCTCACCAACGACAAGTGCAGTGTGGTCGCGGAGGGAGGAGAATGCACCTGGAGGGCCTCGGTGCAGCCTGGACAGTTCGACAACATTCTGCACCTGCTCTTGCTGCAGCTGCGAGCCGACGGACCGCTGGAGAAGGTACGCATCAGCAAGGCTTGTCACGACGGGTGTTGGTGTTTTCAATAGGGTATCCCTCTAGAGCGCGGAGCGGAACTAGGAAGAACAAAAGCGGATACAGAGAGCGGTGGTGGGGGCGGGCGCGCGGGGGAGCGGCGGGTGGTAGGGGAGCCTCTCCGCCCGCCCGCCGCTCCTCCGCGCGCCCGCCCCCACCACCGCTCTCTGTATCCGCTTTTGTTCTTCTTAGTTCCGCTCCGCGCTCTAGAGGGATACCCTATTAAATAGGGTCAGGGGCAGGCGACAAGCATGAAAAAAAAAACAATCTGTCAGAAGTGGGATTCGAACCCACGCCCACAGAAGTGGACTGCGACCTGAACGCAGCGCCTTAGACCGCTCGGCCAT